TGTCTTCAGTAGATCAATGAATAAATAAACTGTGGTACATCCAGATAAGGCAATATTATTCAGCACTAAAAAGAAATGAGCTGTCAAGCCATGAAAAGACATGGAGGAAAGTTAAATGCATATTATTACTAAGTGAAAGAAGCAAATCTGAAAAGACTACACACTGTATAATTCTAAGTATATGATATTTTGGAAAAGGCAAAACTGTCAAGATAGTAAAACGATCAGTGACTGCCAGGGAATAGGGGGGAAGGAAGGATGACTAGGAAAAGCACAGAGGATTTTTAGGGCAGTTAAACTACTCTGTATGATATTATAATGGTGGATACACGTCATTATACATTACCAAAACCCGTACATATACAACAGCAAGAATGACTCCTAATGTAAACTATGGATTTTGGGTAATGATGTATCAATGTAGGTTCATTGATTATAACAGATATACCACTGTGGTGTGGGATGTCAGTATTGAGGGAGGTTGTGCATGTGTGGGAACAGGGGAGTATATGGGAACTCTCTGTCCTTTCTGCTCAATTTTGTTGTGAATCTAAAATTTCTCTAAAAATTAAAGTTTGTTAATTAAAAAAAAAAAACCCTAACAGTTATTTTTATGGAACTCGACAAGCGAATCATAAACTTTACATAAAAATGCAAGGAAAAGAACAAGGTGTGAGGACTTGCTTTACCAGAAGTCAAGACTTACAACAAAGCTATACTAACTCGGATGGTTTGGTCTTGGTAGAGAGAGATAAGAAAACCGATGAGCCGAATAGAGAGTCCAGATATAGAGGTGGAAGTGTAGGGCAGTGAGGGAAGATGATCTTTTCAGTAAATGTTTTTGAGACAGTTTTGGATATCCATATGGAAAACGTTTAAATTGGATCTCTAAGTCACACCATATCAACAATCCAGTGCGTCCTAAACCTACATATGAGATACAAAACAACACAGCATTTAGAAGCAATGTAGGAGAATATCTTTGTAATCTGAGGATGGAAAATATTTCTTCATATTTTTACAAGAAACATTAAGAATAAGGTAATATTTATGTAAGGTACTTAGAGTAGCCAAAATCATGGAGACAGAAAGTAGAATGGTGGTTGCCAGGTTCTGAGGGGAGGGAGGAAATGAGGGTTATTATTTAATGAGTGTAGATTTTACAAGATGAAAAGAGTTGTAAAGATGGATGGTGGTAGTGGTTGCACAACATTATGAATGTATTTAATACCACTGAACTGTACACTTAAAAATGGTTATGATGGTAAATTTTATGTTATGTGTATTTTACCATAATTAAAAAACTGAAAAACATCAAGGAAAAAATATGAAGCAACACAATGAATGCATGATTTAACAATGCCTGTTAGTGTTCCATGAATGTTCAGTGGGGTTTTTTTTCTTCATGAGTCTTGGAGTAAAATATTAATGAAACTTCATAAAAACTAAATAAAATATCACTTTGGGTCAAAAAAAAGAATAAGGGAATAGATGGGTGCATGACTAAAACAAAATATTTACTTATTTGTTGCAAATATCTTCTCCTGTTCTGTGGTGAGTCTTTTTTGACACCATTAATAGTTTATTTTGCTAAACAGTTTTAATACATGTACTTTTCTGTACGTGTATTATTTCACAATAAAGTTTTTTTTAAAGAGGGGATTTTTCGGGCCAGCCCCAGTGGCCTAGTGGTTAAAAGTTCAGCATGCTCTGCTTCAGTGGCCTCAGTTCAGTTCCCAGGCATGGACCTACACGCTGGTCAGTGGCCATACTGTGGCGACAGCCCACAAATAAAATAGAGGAAGATTTGCAACAGACGTCAGCTCAGGGCGAATCTTCCTCAGCAAAAAAACAAAAAAAAAGAGAGAGAGAGAGAGGATTTTAAATTCAATACAAACAAATATTGAAATGGCAACCATAAAGAAGTGACTGTTAATTCTACTCCCTTCTGTACTCGGCAGGCAGGGAAACTAAGGGCTGCCTCAGAGGCTAAAACCCAATTGGGCTGGCAAGGGGGAATATTGCAGTCAGTCACTTTATCTTGAGAATTTTTTAACTTTCAGTGGTCTCTCTCTCCCAGGAGTCCTGTGTCCTTGTGACCCCCTGGCTTGCAAAGCCTCTCACTCTGATGATGCCACCACCACCACACCACCAATGATTGCTTAGTGATTTCTCCCATACTGTCTCCTTTAGTTGTCACAACACCCCTGAGATAGGTTTTACTGTTAAGCCCATTTTTCAGATATGTTCTCTTACCATTAGGCAGAGGAAATAAGGGAAGTCTCAGCTCCCATATCTGTACCTCTAATAATGTTCTTAGCACTGATACTTCAAGTCCAGAGAGGTATTGACAGCCAAGAAAGAGAAAGGATGAGAATGTAATTGTGAATAAGTCCAGCCAGGGAAATAATTTTTAGATTTTTTTTTTTTTTGCTTTAAAAACTATCTATAAGACAATCTTTCTTCATCTTCCAGTGACAGCTTAGTTTTTAGACAACTAAAAGAAGTGATATTTTATACAGTGGGATGTAAACATAGAGCAATTCATTATCTCTGAAGAGGGCAAAGGCAAAACAAACATAAAGAAAATTAAGGATGACTGAAAGAATCTTTAATGGAGCCACATTTGAGTGTAACATCTTTAATATTGTTCTCAGTAAGTCTCTGGGGATCAACTGGTTCAATAGACTTGGACAGTTCTATTATATCTAATTAGTTATTCTAATAGATAATGGAGAAGCTTGGCATGGAAATCATGAGGCATAACGAGGCTTGTGTGTTATTTCCAGATTGTTCTGCAATGTTGTTAGGTCATGGAGGAAAGCAAGTAATGTTGAAAGGATATTCCTAAACTCCAGGTATATCTGACCCTTGTGAAGCAGATGCTGTCAGTGTCCTTCCCATATCTCTAGACATTTCAGGGTTCTCGGTTGATTACCAGCCGCCAGTATCTGCATCTCTCTGCCTACAGCGTCTTTTCCTTAGAACTGTAGGAAAGTGTGCTGCCTCCTTGCATGGCAGACCAGAGAAGCAACAAATTAACATGCCCTCTCCACAACAGGCAGATCCCTCAATCAATGGCTCTTTGAAGTTGATGTAAAAATACCCCAGTTCCTTGTCCCTTGGGGAGAATAATTCTGAGGTGTGTGTTTTGCACCTCAATGTTTGCTTGGAGGATTGAGCTCCAGTGCCCACTGTGGTAGCTGGCTTCATGACACGCGTTTTATTGGCTGTCTTCCCTTCCCGGTATCACCGAGCCACTTCATACCAGTGTTTTCTGCACCTGAATCTTTGTCTCACGGTTGGCTTCTGTGGGATTCAAACTAAGACACCTTAAATATGGACTCTCCTATAGAACATCTCTTGGTACCCCAGTCATAAAGAAAACATCGGGGAAACAGATTCATAGTATAAGTCAGCATACTATTTCTTGTTTTTCAAATTACTTGGAAATTATCTCACCTGGATGTACTTTATCACTTTAGTAGTGACATTGAAGGGGCTGGCAGTTATATGGAGTACATGCTTGTGAAGGAAAGCCCAGAAAAAGTCATTCTTAGGCAAAGTGAACATCTAAAGAACGTCTTGGATTGCCCACATGCAGGGATGATAATCAAAATATTTAACAACTAGTACAGCATGGTCCTCAACCAATCATAAAAGACGCTGGCCTGTATGCTGCAGGGCTGCTACATTGGCTGACCATTGGCTCTGACCAGTGAAACACTGGGGTCCCAGTTCTGCCTGGGTCAAATCTTCAGGCTAGGTTGAGAGGTTGTTGGGCAGAGAATGGTTTACTTGGCTTTTTCCAAGGGAACTCACAGGTAGGTAGGTATGATTTTGATTCCTCTTCAGAAAGAGAAGTGATGGGTAGAAATATTTATCGAACACTTCTAAAGGGAGCTAAAGGCCCAGCAGGGGCCATATTGGCAGAGATTTGAGAGTTTTACACTCCAACATATTATTATTTATGTCCTCTCCTTAGTATGGAAGTGAAAGCCACAAACTGCATCAGGTTTCCTTCTAGAGAATTGTCTCTTCTCCACTGTAGGTAGTCTGGGCAAGACCAAAGAGCAAAGTAGCCAAGGTGTAGGTGTGTATGTGACCCAAGATAAGTCCATCAGAGTCTCTTTCCTGGGAGTATGAAAGTGAAGCAGAATTATGAAAGGATGAGAGAAAAAGTCTTTGGAGTTCATTTACGCAGTGAGAGTGCTAATTCATTCACGCAGTGGGGCTGCTATAAAGTATGGTCAACTGGTTTCTGCTACCCAGACTCCAGAGTTGGCTGGTTTCTCTTCATGTCCTTGACCTTCTCATTGGTTCTGTGGGCCTTTTGATGCCTTCCAGTAATTTCCTTTTATTGCTTAAGTTTTCCAGAATTGGTTACTTTTGCTTGCAACCAAAGAACTGTAACTAATTCAGGTCCTATATGCTTATCTTCAGCCATGTTTTGTGGGGGATGGACCCCTTGAAAGGATGTGTGGCAGCAACTACTGAAGATGGAAGAAAAGAAGCCAGTCCATCCATCTTCATCAAATAAGAGGAAGAAGACACAGGAAGTTGGTGTGGGCCTGAGGGATGTGGTATACGTCACTTAAGGAAGATCAGCTTTACCACAGTCAGCTCTCAGCTACTCATGGAGCTAGAATGTCATCCCTACCTTCTCCATTGTTCCACCAGCTTATGAGTCTGGCATTTCTCACAAGCAAAGCCCTAGTGACTTGGGTAGATACTGGAAAAAGGACAAAGGCTTGGGTCAGGCTCTCCTCTTGTTAGCAATTCTGCTAAGACAGGGAGTAGGTCGACATTGAAATCATGGGCTAAAATGAGGTCTCACTGGAATATGTAGATGTTACTTACCATGGTATTCACATTTACTACAAAATAAATATGCATTTGTCTATGCACATTTCATGGGAACCATATTGTGAACCAGGTGGACTTTCTTTTCTTCTTTTTATGTTTATTCGCATTAAGCAAATTGGGAAATGAATTTTATGTCATAATTGGCAACCATTCCTTTGCCAGTGTTGAGTACAATGCATCCATATCACACTCTCAAAGAGGGGCCACCTGAGCACCTACCAACCTGATCCACCAGCAGAGCTTTGCCTAGTAGCCATGTCTTTTATAGTATTTAGCTCGGGCAATAATATCACTGACCAAGTCATTGTCTATGTCCTCGGGGGTGGCAATGGCATCAATTCCTGACTTAAAGGCCGAGAGACCACCTGAAATGAAATACAGAGGTTTAGATTTAAATATTAACTTTCAGCAGAAATAACATATGAGCATTCCCAGGTCAGCCCTCCAGGCAGACCTTCCAAAGCAGGCAGTCCCAGATCCTTCTTCCTGCTTCCTCCCCTTCTGAAAGGATCTACTACCCCAAGAATCGCTGGGAAAATTCCAGATTGCTTTTCTTCTCTTTCTCCTTTTTGAAGACTTTTGTTTTTCTTACTGCAAAAGTCATATTTGTTTCTTATGTAGCCTAGGCTTAGGAGAAACTAGATCCCCAGCAAATCTTCAATCTGGGAATGCTTGTAACATTTTCTCGGTAATTCAATAATTCATTCATTTACTCACTCACTCATTCATTCATTCAATAAATGGTTTTAAGCACCTACTATATGCCAGATGGGTACCATACTGAGTGCAGGGTGCACACTGGTACCCAAGACATAACATAACCATTTCTTTGTAGGGGTATGTTTGCATATGCATGTTTGTACATATGTATATTTTACCCTAGAATTTTAATCTTCAAAAGTTATTTATGTGTTTAACATAATTGTGCTCTACTCTGACATCTAGAGAAAAAGGCTCCTAGTCCTGATCCCTGCCTTGAAGGGCCTTGAAATAAAAAATAGAAACTGTTTATTCTAAATTAAGGCCATTAAAGTGTGGAAAGAGAGAGGTCTATATATACCATGGGTCTATAGGAGGTAGACTTAACAAGAATTTGTGTGGTTGAATGTAAAGAGAGAAGAACCAGATAGCCTAAGAAATCAATCTGGTTTTCTGGCTGGGATGACTAGATATATTATGGCGCCTTTCACAGAGATAGAAAATGCAGAAGAAAGAGCAAATTATAGAAGGAGGCTAGTGACTTAATTCAGTCTAGGAGGTACTAAACTTGAGGAGGTCTGTGATCAACTGAGCAGAGATCTCCACTTGGACTTATCATGGTACCTAAAGCCTTGACGTCACTGAGAAGGTTCACAGCGTAAAAATTTGTTCAAACACTTTAGAAAGTGGTTAAGTTTCTTCCATCAGGAAAAAATCTATCAAAGGAAGGCAAGCATGTTCTTTTAACTATTGCATTAACTCTCAAGGCATCACTCAATGGCTCAATAACCAACAAGAGATGTAATAAGAACCCCAACATCTGGCAGGAGGGGACATGGAAGTTGGGAAGGAAGACCACTGAAAGGAAGTCAGTGGATCCAAGAGCACTAGTGTAGCCTTTCAACAGCTCTTCCCAGACCCACAGTTGACCCAATGGGAGCACTCCCAGGGAGGCCTAGGGCATGGCTGGCCTCCAGGGCTCTGCTCTTTTAAAAACACTCACTCACTGCTCTTTTAAACAAAGCACCACAAATATAGCCTACCTCTGAGGTGTTCAGCCACACTCCACGTGGGGAATTTTTTCTGGATTGCCTTAATTCTCTCTGTTAGAATCCCAACAGCCTGCAAAAGGTGTTCTTTGCTGTCCCAGGTACCAACAGGGTGATGAATTTTTTTATCAAGCTGGAAAATACAGATAATAATGTTAGTGTCTGGATAAAGCAACACATTTTTCTGCTGTTCCTAATTTCTCCTCCTTGTGTTCAAGTTCATAGAAGTTGGCCTTGGCACCCTTCCTTTATCTCCACAGAGTCAATTCTACAATCCTTTCTTTCACAGAAAAGAGAGTCAGACAAACAAAGCAAGATTGGGGAGAAGTGGGCGTGGCACAGTTTTAGCTAAGCTTGCAAATATAAATAAATAAATGAAAAAGTTGTTTCAAAACAAATAATTAGCACCCAAAGTCTAGACATTTGCAGTCAAAATAAAAATTTATTTCAAACTGGAAAGGCTAGAAGTCTGGGTTTCTATAGACAATTTAAAATAAAGCCTGGAAGCCAATATCCAGATAATTTGGGTCCCCTTTCTCCAGTTTGCCTAAAGATCAAGTGCATTCAAGTAGGGCTTAATTATAGTGTTTTGATCTACTTGGATGAAATTTTCTACTTCATGAACCCCTAGAGGACACCTGTAATAGTGCCCTTTATAAGAGTTTCTCAATTGAACTACATTGCATATTATTAATTGCAAATCGTAGTTATGAAACTCATAAAACTTTTTCTGAAGCTATTCAATAACTGATAAATCTTGAATGAAATATCAAAGATGTGATACGGAAATCTCAGGACAAATTATGCTGAAGTACCAGAGTATTTTGAAACCTGGAAGTACTACAAGTAGATTTCCAATTTGGACTGAGCTTCTGTAAGGAAGGATGAAGTGGGGCTGATTCAAAGCTTCTGGCTAGGTACCTGCATCAAGCCAAATTTAAGTCCCTTGTGGTCCCAGCCATCTTTCAGGACGGTTCCACCATGGCTTTCTCTGGAGATGATGGCTGCAATGAGAGCAGGGTCCATGCAGTGTCTCAGCCCAACTTCTTTGATCAGAATCTGGTAAGGCTTTAAGGCCCTCAAATCCATCTCAGCAAACATTTCAGAACCACGGATCCCTAAGTCAATAGAAAATAAACTGTTTCCTCTGCTCCAGAAAAGAACCCTTTTTCAAAGTTTAATGAGTTAGCCACAGCCCCTGACCACAGCTCACAGCCTGAGACAACCATTCTAGGACATTTTTTGATCTCTGATTGCATAAACCTAGAAAGTTGCACAGCCCCAGACAGATACCACTTCTGCTCTCTTTCTCATTCTTCTGTTTTCTGCCACATTGGGAAGACTCTTGGACTAGAAGTCAGCCAACCTAAGTTTGAGTCTGGCTCTGGCACTGCCTAGCTCTGGGCCCTTGGGAAGTCTCTCCTCCTTGATGAGCCTCAGTTTTCTGACCTGTAAATTGGGGAGGTAGGATTAGATTGACCTTGTAGTTGCTTCCAGCTCTGACACTCTAATACTGGGATAACATGGAGAAGAGTTTGGAACCAGATTACAAAAGAGCGGATGTACAAAGAGCAAGAGCATTGAAGTAAATGCAACAGCAAACAAACAACAAAGCCAAAATTCAATATTTTATTTAAGCAATAATTTCAATACATAGAAATAAACACATCTGGACAAGGTTTGGAAAGAATGGGAGAAAATGAAAAGAAGCAGTTTGTTAGGTTATTCAGGATTCTGTTTTCTTCAAATTTTTAATTTTGATATTACTGCTATAATAATGATTATATCTTTTCAAAATTAAGCTACTTTCTAAGAAAGTAGAAAAGAATCTAAGAAAGAAAGAATCTGAAAGGATTCTAAGAAAGACTCTGAAAATGATGAAAGGGGAAAACCAAATGTTTGCTTTGCTTTTCACTTACCGCAGTTAATCAACTTGGTTATATCACAGGCAGCGCCGGAGGTCTCCATGATCATGATGTTGCCATAGCAGCCATGGTACAGGCGGGGATGCAGGTGAGGGTTCATTGACTGAGTGAAAGGGTACAAGCCCCTGGAAGTGCCTGGGGGACAGAATGATAATTCATATGGAGCCTGTGAAAAAATATTGCTCGAGTTGCTATAATCAACATTACTAAGCTGAAGGCGAAGCCATAGACAAGTCCTTCTCATGTCCCTCCCAAGACCCCTAGAATGACCATCAGACAGATCAGAAGATTCCCGCTTCCCACTCTATTCCAATCTTAAAAAAATTCTAATCCAGCACTTAATTCTAAACATTGTGCAAAGTATTATGAAAATCAGTTCTTATAGGTCCCAAACACATTTGCTGTAATCTTGATCAGAATTAAAATTGCCACTAGAGGTTTAAGCAGGAACTTTGAGAGAAATTTTAAGACACTTCTGATACAAATACTTGTGGGGATGTAAACATCTGGGTTAACAATTGCCTTTGTTTAGGAAGATAAGAAAGAAGGGTTCCATTACAACTTAAGATAAGAAAGAAGGTTAGGATTAACTTAAGGTCTTCATTTTATATCATGTTGCTGTGAAGCTGAGTTTCTAAGTCTAATTAATAAAATTGGAAATAAAATTTAACTTACCACAAAAATTTAAGCTAAATCTATTCTTATTTTTTATTTTGTCGTTATGAAGTGAGTTTCTGTCCAAGTCTATTTACTAAAGGAGATATAGAGCTTTTCTGTAAGTTGAAAAGTTTCTTCTAATAATTGCTAGGATTGTTGACTTGTACCTTAAGACTACAAATATTTTTTGTAAGAAATTGTATTTGTTAAAATGCTTGACGTAAAAACCTACGTTGTTTCACTTAGTGTTGTAAATGGCATTTTTTAAATATAGAGGTGGATTTTACCCAACCACCTTAGGTCTAGTTCTGATTAACTTGACAGTATAAAGAGACTCTTAGAATTAGGCACACAACCGATGGAGCTCTTCCTTATAAATATTTATTTTAAAAGGAAAACAAAACAACTCTAAATATTAACTTTTTAAAACTATGTAATTTTTCAAAAAGTAAAACTCGTCAAAACAAATAAAAATACAGGCACAATCTGCTCTCTTCCATCTTCGAACAGGCAAAAAGGGAATTTTAAATGGGCCAAGAAGTCAGACAGGGAAACTGTCAAGTAAACTCAGGATGCTAAGAAAGACTATCTAGATAATAAAAGCAGCAGAAACCATTAAGCTTCTATAAGCAGTGTGGATTCCCATGTGATGCAAAGAGCAGGAACCATCACACTGGCACTCTCTATGGCCTCACTGTAGTATCCTGTGCCTGCAATGTGTGTGGTAAAGATATGAGAGTAAATGAATGGATGGATTCCTATGACACAGATCACATGTAAAATTGAGGCATGGGTGTTCAGAGTGACAGTGCAGACTGAAAACATATATCCAGAATCTGACCATTTCTCACCACCTCTGCTACCCCCGTGGTCCAAACCACCATCGTTGCTCATCTGGATTACTATAACAGCCTCCTAACTGATCTCCCTGCTCACTCTCACAGTCTGTTCTCCACCCAGCAGCCAGAGCGATCCTGTGGACACATGCATGGGGTCATATCAGTCTTCTCTCTTAACCTTCCAGTGGCTTTCCCATCATTCAGAGGAATGGCCAAGTCTGTATTGTGGCCTCTGAGCTCTACCTGATCTGGCCCTCTGCTCAGTTTCTGACTTCTCCTTCCCTTCCCTAACTCTTCTCCAATCACATCCTTCTCCTTGCTTATCCTGCAACATGCCAGGCAGGTTCCTGCTTCAGAGCCTTTGTATTTGTAGTTCCTTTTGCCTAGAATTCTATTCCTCCGGATATCTACCTGATTTGCTGCCTACTGCCTTCAGGTATCTGTTTAAATATCACCTTATCAGCAAAAAATATGGACAGACAGTTCATAGACAAAAAAGAAAATGATCCTTAAACATATATAAAACAATCACACTCAAAAGAAGAGAATTCCATATTAAAACATCACTGAGACACTATTTTTTTTACCTATTTAATTCACAAGAATCCAAAAGTTTGACCATGTACTCTATGAATGAGGCTGTGGGGGAAGAGGCTGTCTCATACATTTCTGTGGAGGAGGCTTTTGCAATAGGCTGTTGTTTCAGCACTGTTTATAAGAGCAAATGACTGGAAACAATGCACATGTTATTAATATAGGGACTGATTGGATAAGGTGAGCTACCTCCACACAATGGAGCTATAAAAAGGAAAGAGGAAGAACTCTATACACTCCTATAAAATTATCTCCAGGCACAGAACAGTATTTATAGAATTGTACTCTTTGTTTAGAAAGGGGAGAAAATATGACTGTGTGTGGGTGCACGTAATTTGCTTATATTTTCAAAAGAAACAATACAAAGATGAACCAAAAATTAAAAAAATTGTTAGTTATGGGACAGGGTAAGAAGAGGGTAAAGGGGACAAGGATAAAGGCTAGACTTCTCTAAAAATACCTTTTTTATAGTCTTTATTTTGGAGCCATGTAAATGTTTCCATAATTACAAAAATTAAATCAAATAGAAAAAAAAGACATCCTAAAAAAATGAAAAACAAATCTATCGAATTGAAAACTTAATTAACAGATAGAGGAGAATTATTTCAAGTGACTTTAAAACATGTCAATGTAAGTATACACCACTTGTGGAACACATCCTATGAACATAAAGAATTATAAGAAAACAAATTATATTCAGTTTCATTGCATGTTGGTAATGCCGTCATAGTTATTTTGAAACTATTATACAAATAACTAATCATGTTAATGTTAATGTCATTAGGAATCAGGATTTTTAGTGTTAAGACAGCAGAGGTACAAATATAAAACCAATGTAAAACCCTTGTATTCTTAAATATGAAAATGAAATATCTATATGAATGCATAATTATTTTTGTCTTTTAAAAAAATATTTATTTTCTAATTCTCACCAGTGAAAAGACCTGGAATGACAACCCCATAGCAATGGAGCACCCCTAGCCCCCCAACTGTGGTCTCTAAAGACCATTTCCTGCCAAGAGGAACCAACGCTCCTCAGGAAAATCGCTCATTCCTGGTCTGAGGCACAAAATGTTCCAGGTGAACCAGGAACATCTTCTTGTGCCAGAGCTGGTTCTTATATGTTATAGACACGTACTAAAAAAAAATCTATAGGTGAAGTGTTTTGATGTTTTGGATTGCTTTAAAATATTCCAACACCCCACCCCCGTCCCAAATGCAGGGTTGAGGAATAGATTAAATAAGAATGGCAAAATGTGGAAAACCATAGAAGCTGGATGATGTGTACCTGGGATTTTATTATACTATTCTTTCCCCATTTTGTATGTTTAAAACTTTCCATAACAAAGGTTTTTTTTAAAGTTATTTTATTAGAGAGCCTTTCTTGTCTACTTACATTAAAAAGGCAACACACTCGTGCTCATTCCTTGTCTCCCATTACCTTACATTATTTTATTTATATCACTTGTCACCACCTGACCTTTTTTCCTTCCTTTCTTTCTTCCTCTCTTTCTTTCTGCCAGCTCCTCTCATTAGAACATTTTTTTCTCTGCTGTATCCTCCTCCTCAGCACTTTGAACAATGCTTGGCACAAAACAGACATTCAATAAATATTTGAGGAATGGATAAATGAATGGATGGATGAATGAATGAGAAGGAAAGGAATTATCTAAATTATCTGGATCAAGGGTCCATATATCAACAGGTTTCAATATCCTTTTATCCAACGTTTGCTAGACTCAAAGTGTGGCCCGCAGACCACAGACACCAAAGAGCTCTAGGATGCCTATTAAAAATGCATATTTCTTGGCTCCTCATACTAGGTCTATTGAATCAGAATCTTTAGAGATAAGGCCAAAGAATCTGCACTTTAGCCAGCATTCCCAGCAGACTCTTACGCATACTGAAGTTTGGAAACTACTGCTTTAAGGGGATTGGAATATGACTATGGACCTTACACTACTTGTGTTGACATCATAAACACACAGGCCTTTCTTAATTATAGTCACCTTTCAGTTAAACACAGCTACTATGGTAGATCATAACTAGTCTACTGGCTATATAACTCTGCTCCAGCTGGCAATTAAAGAAGGAGTAAAAATTAAAACTATGTTCTCCTGCCTTTGACCATAAGTAAACATAAATTATCACTTTTCAGTAGCATCACTTTTCCAAATTTAGAATTAAGCATTTTAGAAACACTTATCTCAATCTTCACTCTATTAATAAGAACAATGTGAACATTGTTTACAATGGCTTTTGATATTTTTAGGCAGAAGTTTGAATCTCTTCTTATTCAAGGTCCCTAACCATCTCAACTGCCTGCCTGTCTGTCTAGCCTTCCCTCAGATATATATCCCCTCTTCTCTTCCAGTCACGCTGACCTGCTTACTGTATCCCAAACACTTATCATGCATGTCTGCCTCTGTGCCTTTCCTGAAGTCTGTCTTCCCATCCAGCAGACTGTTCTCTTCTCTTGTTAAAACAACAAGCATTCTTCAACTGTCACGTCCCCTCAAAAAGCCTTTTTGGTTTCCACATCCCGACTGGATGTGAACTCTCCCTCCTAAACTCCTCTCAGACTAGGGTTTTTTTCTAGCTATACTTAACTCTTATTTACTGTCTCTTATTGATAATTTTATCTTTATATGTCTTGCCTTCCAAGGCATTATTCCATAAATTCCCACTGATAGCACCTTTACCTGCTTAGCAAGCAGAATACTCTCTTCATTATAGAAATCAGGAGGTGATTAATGGCCAGGCTGATAGAAGAAGAGCCCACTCCTCCATTGCATGTAATTTTTGCTCTTTCTGATTCATGACGTGCTGGATTTTTTTGTGGACACCCCGTGAACAATGCTAAATGTCGATTAATGACTTACCGATAAGGGCAATAAGTCCCAAAAACAGAATAGAGGAGAGCATCGTGGTGGATCTTATCCTACAGCACCTGTTATGGTTTGAAAGATAAACTGGTTAATTTTAAAACTTGAAAGTTTCCTAATGGAAGCTTGCTTTGATTTAAAAAAAAAGTTTAGAGTCACTTCCGATTCAATAGCCTATTTCCAGTCCTAAGATATTATTCCCATAAGATCAGCATTGTGGTTCATTGGATCACTCTCTTTCCTAAGCATAAACTCCAACTCATTTTAATCCGATTTCACATTGACATGAACCTGTGAACATCTTACATATGTTACCCACACACGCACTCCCATCCCATCTCCAAGCTTGGTCGTATCATAATTTTGTTCCCATTCTCGAACTACAGTCTCCTTAAAAAATTAAAAGAAACTACTAAGAGGAGCATTAGAGATCATGACTCAGAAGAGCTTTGCTGTGCTTCATATCTTCCTTTATAAACTCTATTCTTGGTTTCATTCAAAAGGCAACTTCTGTGTTTTACAAGATGCAAGAAGGCTAGCACTAACCTGGTTTGTGACCTTGCAGAGAAAATCTCCTTTCTCTGTTTGAGAAGGTATTCTGTAATCAGCAGCAACCTGCACGTCAGGATTTTACAAAGTGGTGGTCTTTGTCCTATAACATAGGTCTAACTATTTGAGAATCCATTAGTCAGTAGATCTCTGAGCACCTGGCTTCAATCCGAGCAGACTTCAGTGTGGCTCGACCACTGTGGAGGAGGTTCTAAATGCCAGCATGGAGACTCATCTGCCTCTTCTTACCTTCCTTCTGTACCACTAATTGCAGGAAGAGCTTTATATAGGATTTAAACCCCTCTCTTTAAATCACTGACCTCATTAGGCCTGATTATAATAGTACTTTGGACTTAGGTGGCCCTTTTAATAAAAGGATTTCAAAGCGTTTATTAACCACTATCAATTAATTAATCTAATGATCCCCCAGGTTCTACTGGAGGCATATATTTGGTGAATTGTTTCTGGGTATCTAAAGTTGTGCTAGGCAAACAGCTTCTAAGTTTGAGAACAAGAAACAGATAATTAGCCTAAACAAGATAAACGGGAAATACTAGCGGCTTTCGTTCCTGGATTGGTTGTTTGCCTGACATGCTGAGCCTCCTGCATTTTGTTCCTCATTCAGTTGTGCCACGATCCCCATACCAATATGTCACATGGCTCCTTGCTCTAATTCTACCTCTAACAAACAAACCTTAGAGTGGCTACCTGCTCTGGGAGATCAGCACAAAGCCAGGGAGCAGCAACATGGGTGCTGGTTTCCCAAACTATCCGAGGAAATGGGAAAAAAGGATTTTGCCGGGGATGAAAAGTTCTTCAGGGTTGGAGTGTCTTTCTTCACACTTATGTCCAAAGGAAGTGATGAAGAACATTGTGCAGCCTCAGGAACAGGAAGTGGATGTTCTTGAAATAGGCAAAGCACATTTCCGAAAGGAGAGGAAGGAGTCTGGCATGAGTCCTCGCACAAGGGTGAGAAGTTTCTGAGACTGCACACAATCCTTCCACACATCCATCAAGTGAAGAGAGGTGTGAGGGGGACAGAGTAGGAGACAGAGAAGACAAAGGCCCTGCGTCAAACAACTGTCCAGGTTCCCTGGCAACGAATAAACCGCAACTCCTCAGAGAACGTGCCTTCACACAGTTGATCTGTGCACTACCTAATTGCATTCACTTCTGCCCCGCCTGACTTCCTGTTTGTAGAACAGACTGCCCTTTAAGTGGCCTCTGGCCTTTCATTCCAGGGAAGAAGGGCGGGGATGTTCTGAACCAATGATGATTCCTGCCTTGACTGTCAGGAAAATGACTCATGAGAGGCCTGCTCCACCACCATCATCGATGCTGCAGTCAGGGCCACTCCTTAATGAGGGGTTTTGCATGGGTCCAGCTGCTCCAAGGTAGCTCTCAGGAACACATGGGCTATCACCAGTGACAGTGGCAACATCACGTTGACGTCGTGCTCATGGCCATTCACAGCACAACGTGAGGTGGAAGAAAGAAGAAAGAGAGGAGAAGAGGGAGTGGAGGAAGAATTAAAAGTCAGGTGAAAGATACTAGGTAGAGGCTGAAGCTGTCCCTAGATGCTCCTAGAGAACTAAAGTAATAATAAAACATTGAAAGTACTGTTGAATGCGAAGCATACTTTATTCCTCTCCTTGTTTTCAGACAGTGAGGTTACAAGTCCTTCTAGGTATGAAGCCTTAATGTCCAGGCCCTCTGCAATTTAGATAATTACTTTCAAACTCATGTGGATTATTAAGCTTTGCTCAAATTGTGAGAATACAAATGAACGTTTTTTTGACACCCATCATACATCAGATTCCTATAGACATTATATCATTCAATCCTCCAACAACCCTGCGAGGTAGGTATTAAACCTTATTTTAGAGGTGAGGAAACTGAGACCCTGAAAAGGTAAGCAACTTGCCAGAGATGGAACAGTCAGGACCTGGCAAAGGGGGGATTTGAACGCAAGTCTGTAAGATTCCTAAATCCATACTCTTGCATGTCTGAGGTACTAGCACTATGGACCGATGGCCCTGTAAAGTAATTATTGTAACAGGTTCAAATCAATCAATTTGCACACAAAACATTGTCTGTGGTCTGAATAAATTATTCCAGTCACAGATATTTACCAGTCATTCAAGTGATTGTAGATGCTGTTGTGATTTTTAAATACAAATTAATATGAGTCAATTGAATCCTCAGTGGCTTTTTGTCACTCAAGAAGAACAGCCAAGGAAACCATAACAAAATGAAAAAACAACCTACCAATTGAAAGAAGATATTTGCAAATCCTATATCTGATAAGGAGTTAATATCCAAAAATATGTAAGAACTCATTCAACTCAACAACAAAAAAAACAAACAACCCAATCAAAAAATGGGCAGAAGATCAACAGGTGATTGGATAAAGAAGATGTGGTATATAGATATACAATGGAGTACTACTCAGCCATAAAAAAAGACAAAATCGACCCATTTGCAACATGGATGGACCTGGAGGGTATTATGTTAAGTGAAATAAGCCAGGCAGAGAAAGACAAACACTGTATGACCTCTCTTGTATGTGGAATATAAACTAACACACGGACAGAGAAAACAGTTTGGTGGTTACCAGGGGGAAGGGCGTTGGGGGAGGCTTGGGCACAAGAGGTGAAGGGGCACATTTATATGGTGACTGACAAATAATAATGTACAACTGGAATCTCACAATGTTATAAACTATTATGACCAATTAAAAAAATATATGGGCAGAAGATATGAACAGACATTCTTCCAAAGAAGATATACAGATAGCCAATAGGCACATGAAAAGATGTTCAACATCATTAATTATTAGGGAAATGCAAATCAAAACTACAATGAGATATCACCTCATGCCCATGAGAATGGCTATTATTAAAAAGACAAGAAATAACAAATGTTGGAGAGGATGTGGAGAAAGAGGAACCCTTGTACACTGGTGGTAGGAATGTAATTTGTGCAGCCACTATGGAAAACAGTATAGCAATTCCTCAAAAAATTAAAAATAGAAATATCATATGATCCAGCTATTTCACTTCTGGGTATTTATCCAAAGAACATGAAAACATTAATTCAAAAAGATATGTACACTTCTATGCTCATTGCAGCATTATTCATAATAGCCAAGACTTTGGAAGCAACCTAAGTGCCCATCAACAGATGAGTGGATAGAGAAGATGTGGTATATATATATACAACAGAATACTATTCAGCCATAAAAAGAGATGAAATTCTCCATTCGTGACAACACGGATGGACTTTGAGGGTATGCTAAGCGAAATAAGTCAGACAGAGAAAGACAATTACCATATGATTTCACTCATGTGGAAGATAAACAAACAAACAAACACATAGATACGGAGGATAGATGGGTGGTTACCAGAGGAGAAGGGGGTGGGGGGAGGGTGAAAGGAGTAAAGGGGCACATTTGCAAGTGATGGATGGCAACTAGACTTTTGGTGGTGAACATGATGCAGTCTATATAGAAGTTGAAATATAATGATGTATACCTGAAATTTATATATTGTTATAAACAAATGTGACCTCAATAAAAAAATTTTTTTTTAAAGAAGAACAGCCAAGGATGATTACCATGGGCAATTTGTTTAACCTTTCTGAGCCTTAGTTTGCCTCATTTGTAAAATGGAGATGATAATAATGCCCCTGACTTTGTTTTGAAGATAAAAATAAATTGTGTATGTGAAAACATGTTACAAACTGCAATGCTTCATACAGATGCCAGTTGTTATTATGATGGGGTTGCACTCAGATCCTGACAGCACAGCTTCTTGTTGATTTATTTGTCTGTTTATTTATTTATCTCTGGGGCTCCAGGAAAAATAATGAAGAGTTGATTTATTAGATAGGAAGTAACAAATGAAGCTCTACTTCGGCCAGGATGGACACATAGGTCAAGCAGGGACTATGGCTGGGACTTTGCAGCCTGCCTGGTGGGACCAAAGGAAGGACAATATCAGAAATAGCCACACAGAGCCCAAACATCAACTGCACGGCCTAGAAACCTATAGAAGGAAGGGGCTGCCCAAGCCCCTATGACAGCAAAGACAATTTGGTGACCATGGCTGGTGGGAAGGCAGAAGAGAAACTCTTCCACAAAATTTTACTAAAAAGTCCCATTTAACCTCAAGATATTTCAATGTCTGGCTTGGACTGCTGAGTGCTTTTCTTGTCTTGGGTTTCATCTACTACATGGTGGGTAAAATGTCACACCCTGCTGAAGACACCACTTATATGCTCTTCCAGCATCAAATATTTGACCAACATTTCAGAAAAGAAGATATACAAATGGTCAAAAAGCTCGTGACAAGGTGTTAAGCATCATTAGATGTCAGGGAAATACAAATTAAAACCACGATGAGATAGCATTTCACACTCTCTGAAAAGGCTAAAATCAAAGACTGGCTATATCGAACGTTGGTGAGACTATGAAACAAATAGAACTCTTGTACATTCCTGGTTGGAATGTGAAATAGTATAATCACTTTGGAGAACCGTTTAGCAGTTTCCTATAAAGTTAAACATATATCTACCCTGTGACCCAGCAATTCTATTCCTAGGTATTTATCCAAGAGAAATGAAAACAAATATCTCCCAAAAGACTTGTACAAGAATGTTCGTAGTAGCCTTATTCATAATAGCCCAATACCGGAAACACTCCAAAAATTCATCAGCAGGGGAATGAATTAACAATTGTGATATAGCCATATAGTGGAATAATCTCCAGATTAACAAACAAACAAATCTGGGAAGAACTCCAATTAACCTAGGTTGGGTCAGGTGCCCACCTCTGGACTATTCAATTATGTCTAGGAATAGATTTGTTTGAAAAGGAGACTCCTTCTGGTTTGAAAAGGAGAAAGGAGAAGTCTGAATTTTTTTTAAAGGTGCTGTAGTTCTTCACTACACCTGTGATGGAGAGAAGAGTTAGGGTAGTATCTGGAGAAAGTCTTGGATAAAGGCTAGTTTGTTATGGGTTATACTGGGAGTGACTTGAAGCATTTAAATGCTGTAGAAGATATTGAGGGTATTGGAAATGGAAGCGTTATGTGATCAGGTAAGGTTAGAGGCATGAGTTCAAAAGAATAGGAGTAGAGATTGGCCTGAGGCAGGAATGGGAATGCCTCTTTCGTTGTAACAGGAAGAAAAGAGGGAAAAATTAGATAGCAATACAGTTCAATTTGTAGAGTTGATGGGAG